TCGTCAGTGAAAGCTGGACTAAAGGTAATCCGGAAGATTGGCACTGCAACGATAATTTCTACAGCGGGAGAAGAGGCTCTGAAAGAGTGGGTGCTCTCGTTGCGCGAGGAGGGTGTCCCCGTGTCATGATTGATGCTGCAGCTGAAGGCACAGGCCGTAGCCGAAGATGAAGGTATGGCACCTGTTTTTTTTTTGTAGTAGCTGGGTATGGCAAACTGGATTTTTAAAGCGCCAAGGGCTGCGAATTCGCGCCAAGACGAGGCAGGGACAGAAGAAGCCGGCGGATATGGAGGCAGACGCAAAAGAATTTTGGAAGAATGTTGCTCAAGTCAAAGAGGAGCTTGGCGTCGAGAAGGTTTACAACGCAGACCAGAGTGGAGTGTGTTTTGAGTATTTACCGAAGCATACTATCAGTGAAAATCATTTCATTTCGCTGATCGTACTGAAAATGAACCTGTCCTACTATTGTGGGACGATTTCTCCGCCCATTGGACCGAGGAGGTAAAGGAACATGCAGCCATGCTAAATGTCCATCTAATGCGAGTGCCTCCTGAATTGACGTCCGTCTGCCAACCTGCAGATGTATCATGGTTTCGACCATTTAAACAGCGACTTCGAAGTGAATGGGTGGTAGAATGAACATCACAACTAACTGTGCACCACAAAAAGAAAGATCCGACTACGTTTAAACTAATTCCCCCCAGTCGACGAGATGTAATTATGTAGATCATGGAAACTTGGAAGAACTTGGGTGCTCATGTCATTAAAAGTGGGTTTGCTGGGCTTTTGAAGTGTCGTTCGGGTGGTAATCCCGATGAGCCTGATGATACACAAGAACCGACAAGTGTGGAGCCAGTAAATGAATTAGTGGAGGAGTTGGAGCGCCTCAATGCTGTTGAAGACCCTGTTAGTGACTCGGACGACATGTTCGAGAGATACAGTGATGATGATGTTGAAGCGGAATAAGTAATGCAGCTGCACGTTTTTTTATTATAATAATGAGGTTTTTTTTATCTTGGTAGTGCATTTTTCTGTAAGTATAAAAAACTACCCTGTCCGGCTATACAAATGTTATACAGTATAGTGCTACATAAAGTTGATGTGACTTCGCGCGCCTCTCGATACTTTTGATTAGCATCCCACGGTGCAATAGGGCGAGTAATAACATCAGCTACATCAAAGGATGACGCTTCAGTAATCAGGCGATCACACGGT